AGTGGAGTTTATTGGGAATGGTATAAACTTTGGAGTTAGATGGACCTGGGTTCAAAAATTGGGTTTCCATGTGTGTCCTCATATCACTTATTGAATCTTTAGAGTCTTAATTTCTTACCTTACTAATATATTTACAAGTGGCTACTACGATATCATCCACAACGTTAGCATTCAGTAATTTCAGTCTCCATTTCCTCTGAGGTTGTCCCCTTGTTTGACAAATTGAAGCCTCACACTGTTACAGGGCAGGGAGTGGGGCACCCTAGGACTGTCAAACCTGCCCGCTCTAAGTAGGTTCTGCCATCCACCACATCAAGACAAAATATCAAAGACGTTTAATGGAAAGGAACTTTAATACGATTAGTGTGCAATATGAAAAAGACAAAGAATATGGTTTTTTAACTCAAACACCCATCCCCCTGTGGGTAAAAGTCTACCTAAAAGGGATTGGCCCAAAACAAGGATGCAAAGCCCGCCACAAGTTTAAAGCATCTTCCAGCAGGGACCCATTAAAGAAGGGTCAGAAATGGCCAGACAAGTCTGGGAGGAAAAGAGCAAAGTTAAAATCAAGATAAGCACTGCCAATCTGAAGGGTCTCTCACCCACATCTGTTTCAAGTAATCCAGGACCAAGAAACAAGAGCTGCATTTTACATTCTCTCTGCTCCACATGTCTTCCCCTCAGGTCTCCTTCAGGCTCTCCATTCTGCTTTCTTCTTCCTTCTGTCTCAGTCCAGATTCTTCTCCCTGCTCAGCTACACCCTCCTTTGGATGGAGGTACCTGCAACCTCCCTTTTTCCTGGGGACCACCCTGTTACAATATGATACCTAAGTGGCCATTCTTTGTAAATTCTAAACACAACCCACCCTAATACAAGTGGGCTCTGGTTTTTAGAAGGTAGGACTGATCCATGCTTATTCCCACTTTCTGACACTCCTACATTGTAGCAAAAAATGAAAAAGACTAGCATTGCCCAACACACCTGCCAACTCCTGAAGTTAAGGTTACTTAGGAAAACTTTGCTTTTAGAATGTTTGGCACCATTTTGCTGAATTCACAATTGGCTGTGATTTTATTCATCCTCATCAGAAAGAATAATGCCAAAGCTGTAGTAGTTTATATGAAAAGGAGTTTGACTGCCACGTATTTAATTCAATAGAGTATAACTGTATCTACCCACAACTGTATTCTAAAGTGCTGAGCACACAGCTGGTACTTAACAACATTCTTGGTCATTGTCAACTTTAATGAGCAACCCATGACTTTATTTCTTGTACCAAACACTACCAGTTCTTCTCCCTTAATATTGCCTTGACTTTTGCTTCCATTTATAGAAATTCTTCTCTCCTTCATCCTTACCCCAGAGCCTATTCTCACCCACGTGTGTCATATCCCATGACATCAACAGGAGACAAGATCCAGTCTCTTGGTATCAGTGGAAAGGAAACTTGATCAGTCTAGACCAATAATTCCTCTCTAGAGAGACAGTTAACCCACGGCTAAAACTAACACAAGTGTAAACTGCTGTCTTGTTTCTGCCCTGGGATTTCCCAGGTCCTTGAGAGATGAAAAAGAAACAGCAAACAGCAGTATGGTCTGAGCTTTGTTTCTAATGCCTGCTCTGCAAATAAATTTGATCCTTAGACAGACCCATGAACATATTGCCTTTCAAGTTCCCTTCTTAGAAAATGAATTCTAAAGATTTCAGTGACCAGAAGCAAATGAGAAGGCATCTGGTTGCACTCTCAATTTCCGAAGGACATCAGAAAACTCATGGCAGAAATAGCTAAGGATTTTTTTTTTAAAGACAAATGCAATGCAAAACTTGCTAAATAAGATTTGTCTTAGTAAACTCCTTCTGTAGTCTGGAAATAATCTGTCAAATAAAACCTAGCAAACCAAGACATAAAACTATGACTAAATTATACTGCTGTGTGTGTGCTTTGTTGTAGTGCTGAATGTTATTTGAGAAAAAGAGAAGGGTGTTATATAATAACAAATGTGTGTGTGCAGAGATTATATTTATTAGCAGCAATTACCTTGGGAGAACAACACTGGGGCACAGGGCGGGGTTGGAGGAAGGTGAAGGAGAGACTGAACAGGAGAATGAGCAAGGCACCTGACAGAACTTTCTGTTGGCTATTATCTGTTGGCCAGACCAAAACATGGGACTTTAATTTTCAGGGGGAAAATAATCTAAGTTAATGACCTTCTTTCTCTTTCTTTCCTATGTGACCTACGTAACAGAAACCATTGCACTTTCTTACTCATTCACCCTGGTGAGAACTTACAAATAAGTCCACACACAGAAGTTGTGAGAGGTTTGGGGAGCCACCTGGGCCCACAATTACCACCCAGCTATCTGACTTGTTGAGACTAAAACTTTGGCAAGAGCTGAATTTTCAGTCAGAAGAAATATGTAAGCAGAAGTGGGGAGGAGGAAGAGAGTGGGAGTGCAAGGAGGAAGTGTGCCGTTTTTTTTCATAAAAGCCCAAGAGCTGTTCAAAGAGTTTCCAGGCCTTTCCATCCTGTAACTTATCACCTGTGCCTGTGGATTCACAAGCACATGTGCTCACCGCCACCAAATGGGAAGTTAATTTCACCCACCCGAAGCCTGCAGTAGTGCATATCAACCTTCTTTTCCCTGAAACTTTTCTTTCCCTTTCATCTCCTTGTGCCCTGGAAGACTATTACTTAGGATCAGAAGAGTCAAGTGTTCGGGGAAAGGAAGAGAGTCCCTGCTCTTTGAAGTTCTGTGTCATGCTGGAAAGATAGATTCAAAGTACATTAAGCTTCATAGGGAGAAAATTGACCATGAGTTACCCGAAAGCAATAATGACAGTCAACATTGTAAAGCAATTCCACACCCCTTCTAATCTTTAGGGTTATTCCTGCAATGATATAGTTACTAGGAACTCTGTCACCTCTGCATAGACCCAGAGCTGAGATGAGAGAGGGCTGTGCTTTCTAAAGATTTCTCACTGATTTGTATTTCCACTTGGCTTCCCTGAGATGGACACCAGAATTAACAGGATCTCATAAATCAGTTATTGCTCCCTAGGCAGTCAGATAGCCAAGCTTTATTGCCTCTAGCTCTAATTTCTGGTGAAACAGATGTCTCTGATTTGGTTAAGCACTTAGGACTTACCCCAGGCCTGAAAATAAATGAAGCACATACTCTGTCATCATGTGAGAAGATCTGAGTGGCTCTCACTTTGATTTTGAAATGAGAGAAAATGAATTCCCCATGTTTTTTAAAAAATTTTAGTTACAGGAGAAGAAATTACAATTTCAAAGGAGGGATGAGCCAAGTACCTGCCATTGAGTGGTAAGAAAAATCCAGTCGTTTCCTTTTGAGTTTTCCTTTTATTTCCAAACTGGTATCACAGTCACAATACTTCAGACACCAAACATGTGGTGTTTCCCCTACCAAGCAATTCTGTGACACCAGTTGGGTAACACTATCTGTTGAGATAATGGTCGATCGCATGGATTAACGGTTCAATCCATAAGACTCCCTACTTCAGATATAAGTTCAGGTTGTCACTTGTGCTTCTGACTAATTGGTCATAAATTGGAGGTTCCCATGCCCCCCATTTCCAGTTCTATTAACTTGCTAGAGTAACTGACGGAACTCAGGGAAACGATGACATTTACCAGTTTATTGGGGGATTTGGTGTAAAAAACTTCTAGATGAATGGCCAAATGAAGAGACCCTTGGGATGAGGTCGGGGAGGGCCTCCAGCTCAGGTGTGCTGTCTCCCAGGAGCTGGAGTGCATCACCCTCCCTAGGATATTGTCAGCTTCTCTAAACCCACACTATTGAGGTCTTTGTGGAGGTCTCCTCACAGAGGCATGATTGATAATTAACTGTTTCTAGCCCTCTCCCCTCTCTGGAAAAATGGGGTCAGAGATGAAAGTCCCAAGCTTGTAGTTGTGACTGGGTCTTTCTGGTGACCAGCTCTCATCCTGGAGCCCACCAGAGCTCTCTGGTTACAATAAAGCCTGCTCTTATCACTTAGGAACTTGTAAGGGTTTTTACGAGCTTGTTGCCAGGATTCAGGGCAGAGACCATATATATATTTTTTCTATTATTTAACAAAAAGCAGCTGATGCTTCCCCAGGTGGAGGGCCTTTATGGGGTGGAGGAAGTGAGCACGACTACACAGCAACTTCTCTCATGTAAGATGAGCGTTGGGTTACTAGTCTGGCTACGATGATTTCCCTTCTGAAAATGAGAGGTAACAACAATGCCTTTTCATGCATGTGGTGTGAAGATTACAGTGATGGTATGATTCACGTAACACAAGTAAAAATGTTTAATACTAGTCACTCAGCAAACAGTGCCAGACCCCCACTGGACAGTTATTAATTTTCTAAGTAATATAGGCAAAGAGTGCAAAAACATATACCCAAAGGTAGTATAGACGTATAAAAAAAATAAGATGCCAAATAGCTACACATGTAGCCTGAACCAGAGGTTTGCAATTACTTTTCTATTTTAACATATCTAAAAGGAATGCGATACTTCCCAGATGAGGATAATGACAAAACAGGAGTAAAAATGGAGCAGGTTAAGTTACAAAGCTCAAGTATTTTTTGCCTCCCCCTGTACATGTTCCTCTCCAACTTATATGCCAACCCTGAAACTCACTCCAGTCAAGAATCACATTCTTTACAACAATTAAAACAAATTGCTGAATTTATTCAGTTGATTTAACCAATCCTGTTGGGTAAGTATTGGTTTCACTTGTATGATGTAAAAATATATTTTACATAGGAATACTCGTGTACTCTACAATGTTAAAAACATACATATAAGAAAGATTCATGAAGGCATTTGCTATAAAACATACACAGTATGCTATTTTAGTGTGCAAATGCTTAAAAGAAAACAGTCAAGTGAATTATAAAAGAGTATCATTAAGAATTTACAAAAGTTCCCATTTTTCTTAAAGGTCACATCATCCTTTAGGATGTACGGAAATTATGTGGTTTACACAGTTTTATTTACATTCAAAACGTCATGTTTTAAATGTTTTAAGCATAGCACATACAGTACAAAATGTTTCCATAGGAACATAACAGAATCTGTCACTAGTGGCTGCCTGTTGGATGACTCCTAATTAATCAGTTAGCCATTTTTAAGACACTAGTTCAGCTTATTGCTGTAATATTCAAGTTGTTCTATTCACCCAAAATATAGTGATTTTATATAGAATCTATCAAACAAGGGCTCAAAGAGCTATCATACACCAAAAAACAGAAAATGACTATTCTGAGATAAATAAAGTTCCTATCCTTAAATCAGAACCAAGAATAGTAATTTTAGGCTAATATGTTATCCTTGTGATTGGCATTTTTTATATTTTGAGCAAAGTGCATAGTGAATAAAATCAATCACCAGAAATAATCCTTCCATGAACTCTCAACCTCTTTCCTTTGAGTCACACTACCTAAGAATGAGAACTTTTAGGTCTGGTAGGTACCAGGGTAGCTTCACAATTCAGCCATAGAGGACACAGGTGGAGTCACTCATTTGTCACAGGGGGCCCCAGCTGATAAATGGCATGATTCACTACATAGAGTTCCTGTGCAGAGTTAGCAGAACCAGCTTCCACGAGATATATACCGAGTCTTAATTTAGAGGCAACGATGCCTCCAGTTAGCCATATTCTAAGGTTGGTGGACCCCGCACTAGGTTGAAATAGCCAGCCAGGGCTCCAAGGTCTATGTAGAGAGAACGCTGCCTCTTCAGCATCTCCGATTCCTCAGTGCTTCCTGTGCATGATGAATCTGAAAAGGAAAACAGGAAAAATATAGTAATTGATCAGGGGACATGTTCCATAATAAATACTATACTTTCTTTAAAAAAAATGTTTCACTGAACTTAATAAAAGAGCATTCAAGCTCTGGTTTTATTAAAGACTGGTTTTTGAACGCTTTGGGGTGGTTAATATAATAGGACATAGACAAAAAGGTTCAAAAAAGAGTCACTGATGACGAGAAATTAGCTAGAAATCCTGGTATTTTTCCCAGTGTCCCAGATGGTTCCCTTTAAATACAGAAAAGTCAGACAAGAAACAGGAATGCAAATAAACATTCCAGACTTAATATCAGGGCCTGGATTAAATATGCCACAGATTTTAACAATATGCCATTCCATGCATATTCAAAGAGCTGGGGGTGAAGACTCAGAGCTGGCAAAGAGATTTTAAGCAGAGAAGGAGCTAAACACAAGTTGAATTCAAACTCAGTGTTTTATCTGTGCAGAGCCAAGGACTGGAGTGGCTTACCTCATAGCAGCAAGACATTCATGCTTGATTTATTTTATTTATTTATTTCTAAAGCCAAATGATAGTCTCTGTCGCAAGGTCAGAGCAGTACTCCAGGACCTTGTTACTGACTTTACTTGTGCTAAAAACCTGTTACAATTTGCTGGTAGATTAGTCAATATTTAATGCATTTGTTTTGCTGAATGCATCCATTTTGGCACTTAGGAAATCACTTCATTTATTAGTGCTATCATGAATTCCATCAGAGGTTTGACACAGACAGAAAAAGAAGACAAGCAAGCAGCACACAGCAGGGCCCATACCAGCAATGTTCTCGGGAAGTTCCAACTCCTTCCTACTCAGCAGCCTCTTCCGCTCAAAGAGGGCAGAGTCCAGACTCTGACAGCGTGGTTGCTCCTCTCTGGGGGGGTTCAGAGCTTCATGTTTGAGCAGATCTGCTGCCCTGGGGCGGTGGTTGGGGTTCCTCTGCAGGGCGGCCTCTATCAGCTCTCTCATGTTGGGACTGCAGTCATCCGCAATATCTTCTAACGGAGGTGCTTGCTTGTGGATCTGTGAACAAACCAGTTCTCTTAGCATCACTGGTATGGAAATATATCCTCAACAGCCAAAGCACTCTGGGAACACCACCTAGAAAAGTCTTTGCTTCCTAGGAATGCCCTGCAGCAAATACAGTTCATACCCCAAAACAAGAGCAGCAGACGAGACAGGGGCAGTCTGCTGTGCCATGTGGATTCGGGGCCAGGGACTGAACTGGCATTGAAGCAACTGCAGCTGGCTTACAGTGCTGTGTCCTAACCAGTTGCGTCACCAAGGAGGGCTCTCTAATATCTTCTGCGCAAGTGTTCAAAGGACATATCTTCCTTGGGTCAGATTTATGTTACTCTGATACTACTAAGTGGCATTTTTTACATTTAACAGAGTAAGATGTCATTTATTCTCTGTTGTACATTTTCATAACTTTGTTTATATAGCAGTGTCTTTGCAAAAATGGGACTTTCAGTTTCCTCTCATGGGTTACTACTGTGCCATCAGCACCGGAGGAAGAGCGACTCTCCTGAACAGGGGAAACACTCAGTGCTGGCTGGCCCACTTACTATGTAGAGGTAGGAGGGGTAGGCTGAGCGAGGGTAGCGCTTCACCCAGGGCGGGGTGCCAGTCTGCATGTGGATGAGTGTGGCCCCCAGGCTGTAGATATCTGCTTTGGTGGAATGGCCCCTGCATAAGATCACCTCTGGGCTCATATAAATCTGAAAAAGAAGGGGGAACAGCAGTGTGACTCTCATTTGTCTGGGTTTCCATTTTCCTAATCCAGTTCTGGAAACTGGTGCTTCTGTTGTACCACATTTATTGCATGCTTCTCGCCTTCAGGAAAGCACGTCATTGCTTTGGTAAGCTAAGGAGAATATGCAGACTCTCTTGGGGAGCCTGGAACTCCTACTCATCAAAATCTTGCGAAGCACTGACCAATGTTGTTAGTTTTACGACTGAGACACCAAATCTTGTCATATTTAAATGAATAGTACAAGTTATTTCTTTACCTCATGCTTGTCATAAATTCCCAAACCTCTAATTATCTGCCATAATAAAAGGTGGCAGAAGTCCAAGAGCACTAATACCTTTTACTTGGAAGAGAGGAACAGCGTGTAATATTGCAAAAGTGATCCTAGTTAGTCATTTCTTAGAATTACTACTTAGTCCTACCTACCATGTAGTCCAGTGACTAGATTTTAAAGGTGTGACATGTTAACGTCATGGACAATGCCAAATAATTGCAGCCAGTTTTAGAAATAATTTCTCTATGAAGTGTTTGTTTTTAAAACAAAAAAAGAGAAAAGAGTAAATACTGGCGACCAGTGACTTGTATAGCTGGTACAGACATACAGTAGTTAATAATCGAATTATCAATATTTAGTTAAGAAGTTTTAGTTACTGTCATTTGAATACGGAGGCGGAACACGGCATTCCTGGACTACATTTCAGAATAAAGAACTGGTTTAGAAGACAGGAAATTGCCCAGTTTCCCCATTTCCCCACCCAAATCCTTCAGCGCCTCCCTACAATACAGTTCCTGGCTGGCCTGCTTTCATTTCCTGTCTCTCTCTCCCTCTGTCTACCTCTCACAAACAGATAAACTGAACTCCTTGTACTCAAACTTTCCCTGAAGCAAAGTCAGAGTGTTTGGATCCCGAAGCACCTTCTTATAATCACAAAGTTAAACAACAGATGCCAGGGAAGGGCTGGTTCTCAATTGTGAATACTTCTGTCTCCTCCCTTGCTTGCCTTCCTCAGCAAGGGTTGCATAGTCATCAGTATAACCAACAGCAGTTGTGCACATGGGCTTCTCGAAGCTCCATGACACTGCATCCTTGGGGTGACAGGGTGAGCCCTGACACCTAGCTGCTGCCCCTCATGTAGAGCCCATGGCTCAGAGCTCCTGCTTCCTGAAGTTTTACAAGTTCAGAGCCTCACAGCATGGTGTTCAACGAGTCTTTGGGATGGCAAAAGGCAAGCACAAAAACAAATCTCATAGAACCCAAGCAAGGCTCTCTGAGGGTTGCAACCTCTCAGGCATGAGCACAGGAGAATAAGCATTTCACTTGTCCACTGTTCATTAGACAGAGAAAGAGACTGTGTGTATGTGATATGAATACAATTTAACTTACATGAAAAAACAAACAAACAAACAAAAAAAACCAGGCTCAGAAGAAGAGAAGGAGATGTTAAAAAGACCATGATATAAAAATAACTCTAGTTATTTCAATTCATGACTTACTTTTTCTCCATACCATGTCATTCAAAAACAATAGATTAAATATATGCCTGATAAACCTTTGTATGTATTAAATGGTTACAATATAATGTTCTGAATATGAGTGAATGGAGAGACAGAAGTGATACTGTGGGGATCAGAAATCACCTACAGCTATGAAGTAGCCAAGTGATTAAGATCCAATGGAAAGCAAATCTGCATGGTTGACTTTGACTAATTATATCTTCTTGAATCTTTAAGTATGGGGAGTATATAACACCTTGCTGTGATGTCTCAGCCTTGCATACTGTCAAATTTAAACTCAGGTGGACCATGCATGTTGATGAGAAAATAGTTATTTATGCATACAGAGCTGGGGTACAGGGATGGTGAGAGGATTCACCAGAGACAGAGTGGGGAGCAGAACAGGCAGATTTACTGAAATACACTTCTAAGGGGAGCAACGGGTGAGACAGGAGAGATCTGCCTGTCATGTGGGTCAGCTCCCTGGCTGGGGATCAAACCCATGCTGCAGAGGCTGTGGATAGATAGCTTCATAGTGCTGAGACTTAGCCCCTTGCACCACAAGGGAAGCCACTCTTAATAACAAAGTCAGTTTAGCATTTCATAAAAAGCAATTTATACTTGCTGAAAATAATAATTTTCAGCAGAAAAGTATTGGACAGAAATACTTGCTGTCCAAATACTATGATCACTATGGCATTATCTGTCAGGCATACATTCCTTTTCTGCTAGAGAATTTCAGAAAGAACATGCCTTTCTCAGTCATTGAAAAATGTTCAACTTGATCACACTGCTGGGAAGAGGAAGGTATTTCCCTTCTTTACTACCATAAATAGTTTGTCAGGAAGAAGGGAAGAGTGTCACATGTCTGAGCTTCTAAGTAATGCCAAAATATGCTGAAGCATTCTCCCAAGAAAACACGTCATATGCAGTAAGTCTTATTAGATTTTATGGTTTGGTGATGTATTCTTAAGATTTAGGGACTAAAATAATATTTTTTAAAAGTCTACCGTTTTCTGAATAATCTACTCAAGACTCTTGCCTCAAGTATTTTCTTCAAAAATAAATTCAGTAAAATCAGCAAAAAGAAAGGTTTCTTTTGCTTTCCAGAAGAGTCTTTATTTAGAGGGATTAAGAAAAGTTATAGATCTTCGTGTGAAATGAAAATAATTTTTATGTGTACTATAGTTGAGTTCAGTGCAATTCTTCTATTAGCAAGACTAAAGACTGTCATATGGTTGTGCTGAGGCACAGGTGTCCTATCTCCCCACCCTGGGGACAGGTGTGTGGCTGAGAGGCTTTGGCACTTAAAGTATCCGCATTTTGGTGATTAATCAGGAAGATAACTTTTATACTCTTTTATCTTCCCAGCTGCATTTACTCCAAGGCCACCACAATCTACTGCCAACTAAACCACTAGTCTTTTAGTAACTCAGGTAAGTTAAACTATGTCCTTTCAGTTAGGAGTGAGGAGTGTTAAGGAGACAGGTCCTTGCTGGTCTCATCCTGTGCTCTATCCCTGGTACACACAATGTCTGCCCCATAGCAGATGCTTAATAGAGGTTTGATATGTGAGTCAACCATACAGCCTATGATACTGAATTATATACCCTACCTAACAGTTCATAGAAACAGCTCTCTGAATCTCATTTACATTTAGGGAGTTTTTTTTTTTTTTTTTTTTTTTTTTTACGTAAGATTTGGTCCCTCCCTGGTGGCACAATGGGTTAAAGTGCACCACTATACAGTGATCTGCAGCCACTGCAGCTGCAGTCACTACAGCATGAGTTCAATTCCCAGTCAGGGAGGTGACCCACATGGTGTGGCAGACCTCTCCTGACCCGCCAGCTGCTCCCTTCCACAGTATATTTCAGTACACCTTCCTGTTCTGCTCCTGCTCTTTGGTGAATTCTCTCACCCTCCTGTGACTCTGGCCTGTACTCCAGTTCTTATATGTATAAGTAAATAAATCTTTTTTTTAAACAAGGTTTATTTTGACCCTCCCTGGTGGTACAGCAGGTTAAAGCACTGCACTGAGAAGCTAAAGCCACTGCAGCATGAGTTCAATTCCCGCCTGCCCCGGAGGTGACCACATGGTGTGGCAGACCTCTCCTGACCCGCCCGCTGCTCCCCTCAGCAGTGTACTTCCTTGATCTGCCTGTTCTGCTCCCCACTCTGTCTCTGGTGAAGCCTCTCGCCACCCCTGAGCCTCTGGCCTGTACCCCAGTTCTGTATTTACAAATAAATAAATCTTTAAAAAAAAGTTTATTTTATTTATGCATTGAAGGACTGGGGTGAATGCCAGAGGTAGGGGGTGTTGAGAGAATTCACCACAGAGTAGAGAGCAGAACAGGCAGATGTATGGAAATAAGGGGAGTAATGGGCTGGCTAGACAGAAGAGGTCTGCTGCCCCATGTGGTTAGGTTTGAGATCAAGCTCAGTCTTCAGTGGTAATAATGTTGAGATTCAACTCCTATTCTACCAGGAAGGCCCAATTGAAGAAGGTTTTTTGGTTTTGTTTTTGTCTGTTTACTTCACAAATGAATTAAATATTATAGCTAGTATAAGTTTTCAAATAAGATTTATTTGTGCAATAATAAGCTTGAATGTTACTATAAAATGCCTAGTATTAAAGATAGATCTGATAAGTTATAGGTTCCCAATAAAAATTATTAATGACCATAACAATTATGGCTGTAATTGAACCAAAACAGTCATATTAGTCATACTATAACTATACACATAAATTATAGCAAAATGCTACATAGTAGTTAGACTCAAAAACTGGGTTCAAGCCCCAGCTCTATTTGCTAAATAACTTTGGGTCCTTTATTTCAACCACTACAAGCTTATATCCCTATTGTAAAATGGAAATTTATTTACTTACTGTAATAGTATTTTCCAATTAAAAAAAGTTATGAGAATTAAATATCATAGTTCATTTAAAGTGTTAAAATGAAAACTTGGTGCAGAGAAAGTATCATTAAATATATTCCAACAATAGTAATGAATTAATGCAATGGTTTTTCTCCCTTTCTTTGTTCTTTTTCCCCCACAATAATTCTAGAACATTTTTTCCCTTTTACTCTTAATAAGATATATACCATTCTAGTGTAAATATAATTACCTCTGTGCCTCGGAGGTCTTTAGGAAAATAGATATCTTCAGTCATTTGAACACTTAAGCCAAAATCCACCAAAACAGCTTTTGTGGACATGAAAACAATATTGCTGGCTATAAAGAGAGACATATTTGAGTAAGTAATTGTTTATTTATCCATAAATAAAATGAAAACATTATCTAAAACAAACTCCAAGTCAGAATAGAATGAAATGTTTTACTGATTGAACTAGGCTTACTATAGTCAAAAGTGGAAGATAAATTTGGGTGAAAGTTTAAAGTCACTTTTCTCCTCTCAAATAATCATAGATATTAATTAGTACTCAAGATAGAATATGCAAAGCATGGAAAAAGACTAAGTGTCTTTCAATGGGTAAGTGGTCAAAGAAAATGTGAGACACAATGGAATATTTGGCCATAAAAAAGGAAATTCTTGCTATTTGTGAAAACATGGATGGAACTTGAAGGCATTATGTTGAAAGAAATAAGTCAGTGAAAGACACTCTGTACAATCTCACTTGTATGTGGAATCTGTAAAAAAGAAATCATAGAAACAGAGAAAGAAGGGTTATTGCTGAGATTGGGGAGTGGAAGAAAGGTGTGAAGATGATCAAAGGGTACAAAACTTCCAGTTATAAGATGGATAACACCTACAGTTAACAATCCTGTATTTGAAAGTTTCTAAGGTAGATTTTAAAACCTCTCATTACAAAAGAAAAAAGTTATATCTATATAAGGAGATAGATGTTAATTAACCTTACTGTGCTGATCATTTTGTAACATACATACATTAATTTTTACACATTAAACCTACATAATGCTAGATACCACTTATATCTCATGAAAGCGAGGAAATAAAATGCTCAAGAACTTGAGTTTCAAATTTTAATACACATACTCTTATCAAACCACTTTTCTTACTTGAAAAATAAGTTCCTCATTTTTTTCAGTAAAAGTTTTGCAAGTCCAATTTATTATTAGCTAATAAGGGCTTGTGGTAACGTTCTTGTTTGTTTCCCTATCATGTCTTACTTCTGGCAGGTCATCTGTGAAATATGAATCAATGACTTATTTAATTGCCAATTTGATATTCAAAATTAAAAATTCTGTTTCTCAAAAGTATGTGATTATATGTGTGTTTCTAAGTTACTACTTTAAAAGCCTATTAACAAGTACTTAAAAGAAGTGTGGCTGTGGTCTTTCCCACAACACTTGGATAATCATTTCTTACAAGTTTGAAAGCTCTAGTGACCCCACTTGATTACAAAATGTGTTTCAGGACTTCAGGGGACAAAGGTGGACAGATCCCAGGGAGCTATACTCTCTGTCTGTGGACCTTCAGGCTGAAGGGGAAAGCCCATCTGCCTCTTATCGAACTAAGTCTCTTTAAGCCAATGTACTGCACATTGAAAGATAAACTCACGTTTAATATCATGGTGAATCACTTTCTTTGAGTGTAGAAAATCAAGTCCCTTGAGAACATGCTTTGTCACCCAAATAATTTCAAATTCTCTCATTGGTCCACAACTTTCCAGTTTCTCCAGGACAGACCCTCCCTCCCCTGCTTCCATAAAGAGATGGACAGTTTCATCCCATAGAACAGCACCATACAACTCAGCGATGTTCTCGTGCCGGAAGCAAGCCTGGATTTCCACATCAGATGGTTTAAATTGATCGACTGGGATCTAGAACAACAACAGCAACAACAAAGTAAGATTCTAAACAACACCAGAATAATGAAAAACTATGTGTGTGTGTGTGTGTGTGTATGTGTATATATATATATAGTTATATTAAAAATTGCTTCAAAGTGTAGAAATCCAAAGAATTTCATGTAATTGAATCTAAGAGATCATTTCTGATCTATTATACATGTAATTGCTATAATATCTACATTTTAGTGTGAATTTTCAATATTTCAGCCTGTTGTGACAAAAAATGTAATGATTTGGTTCCACAGTTCATGCTCTCACCAAGCACTTAAAATATGCACTAAGCATCTATTCTGTGGAAAGTTGGTAGTTATTAATAAAGAAAATTGTCCTTTCAACTTATTTGATAAGAAGTTAAAGTGTGGAATGCCTCCAAAAAAAAGAGATTCAGAACTACATATTTTATGTTCCCATTTGTTAAAAAAATATTAACTATATATCCAGATAACCACAGAAATTTTCTTAAAAGATAATTAAGACTCCATTAATAATAGTCATCTCAGGTTATATCCTTTTGAACTCATCTGGGATTATTAATCAACATATATGTTTTCCTTAGGAAAAAAATGTAACTTACAAAGTATATATAAGTCACAGTTATTTCCTTAAGCCGTCTGTAATAAAACTGAAGCCCGGAACACTTTGGTTCTAAGATCTTTATAAAATGTCTTCAGATGTTCCTTAAAGATCTTGAACACATCTCTTCTAATAGTCTTCTGTAACACCTCTCCTTTTATTCTTTTAATAACCTATATCCTGACAAATCTTCATGAAAGAATAAATGAGGCCAATATGTGTTGATTTTTTAATTACACTAAGAGAAACTGAGATAATATTCAAAAATTATTTCTCATTTTATTTTTTGTTAAATGTAATTTTCTTTTATTCATGCATTTAAAAAACTTAAAACAGGTACATAAAATTGTAAACTGGATATATATCAACTCAATGAACAGTCAACTGAATACATCAAAATCAAGAGGCAGAATTCTACCACCACCCAGATACCCCCTGCTGACTCCTCAAGGCCCCAAAAGCATTCTTGAGCCTACCAGCAGCATAAATTTGTTTTGCCTGTTTTTGGTCTTTCTATATGTTGAATGAATCTCTTATTGTAGATTTTATTTAGTATCTGGCCGTTTTGCACCAATATAATAGTCTTGAGATTCAACTACATTAATACAGTTGTAAATCATTTACTGTACTTGTATAGTACCTCACTGTGTAAAAATACCACTTTTTAGCATTTGGCAACTTTCCAGTGTGGGACTATTACAGATAGTACTGCTGTGAAGACCTCAGCACATAGTTTCTAAAGATCACATGTCTACTAGGTGTGCACTCTTAGGTGTGCACTGCAGCAGTGGAATTGCTGGGTCACAGGGTGTGTGTGTGTTGAGCTTCGGCAGACCCTGCCAAGCAGCTTTCCAAAGTGGGCACCACCACAATGGATTGTTTAATAAGAAGAGATGGGGTCTTTTCAATAACTGGTCTATTTTAAATTCAGCCCTTTAACCTGCAGCTTTTCTACCTCTGCTTCTCTGTCTGCTCTCCTTTGGGTAGGATTAAAGGTGCAACACACAGATTTGTTACTGCAAAATAACTCCCCGTGGACACTACTCCCATCACAAGAGGGATGAGGTTCTACAAGCTGCTGCTAAACAAGCCAGTACTTTCTTTTTTAGTCAGGGCAAACTAGACTAAAATCAACTACGCACTTAAGTAGATTTAGGGGCTGAACAGTCCCAGGTTGCAAACTAATCCATAAAACACAGATGCTTTTGGACAAGATAAGATCCAGACAAAGGGTAACAAGTGTTGAGTAATGCAAATAAACAAACAAAAGCCATAATGTGAACTGTGCAAGTGTGCACAATCTGATTACAAAGTACATACCAGTTTACATGCCATTCTTTTCTTAGTCTTTATATCCTGTGCTAAGTACACTTTTCCAAAGGCCCCTCGTGGAATGAAATCTGAGCCGATATTCCTGTAAGTCAGCTTCCAAGGAATGAGCAGAACATCAGAGTCTATTTGGTAGCGTCCATTCTGGGGAGTAATCACCTACAAAGAAATAAAAATGCAAGAGGATGAGAATGTCAGCAAAGTCCTTTTCTAAGATCCACCCATTAAAAAACTGGTTACTTCAGATTGCATTCCTACACAGTGTTTTGAAATGAATGACACTGTGTAACCCTAACAGCGGACTGAGGCTATATTTAGACCTTCAGCAGGACAGCGAAAGCATGTAACAGAAACATGTCCCTGGTCAGACCTCATCGTATTTCCTTCTAATTGTGAGTAATTAAGTGCCACCTAGAACTTAAAAAAGGTATTTATCTAAGGGATCATGACTATTATGACCAAAAGGCTGAAAATAACGATTGCATAAATATAAACTGTGCCTGCATGTTGATTTGTTTCCAATTAAAACGTGCTAACCTGTCAGTCTGCATAGCTATTACTCATACATAAGGCATATAGAGAGAGCATGGAAATTAACCAGAGATCCTGGAGGACTCTGAATTCAAAACATTGTGTTATGCCAGAACTATGAGTTGACAGTGCAACATAAATAAAGTAAGGACAGAATTATGTCTCATCATCTTACTCAATATGTATTGAGTGCATAATAAATACTGGACTCCCCATTTGTGCTGAGGAGATCCCTATGAACAAGAGACAGATGACCCCTGACCTCCAAGATTTCTTGTGTAAGCAAACACGTAGAACAAATGGTTTCCAAACAAGATGACTCAAAAAATATTAACAGCTGTATCTTGACAGTAGTGTGGGCTATATGCATATGTTCACTTGCCAAAATCTCATCAAACTGAATCTTTAAGATCTGTGTATTTCACTGCACACAAGCATATTTTGACTTTTAAAGAGTGAAAAGTTAAAAGGTGAAATTACTCTATTTAAAAGTTAAACAAATTAAGAAGGTAGCCTATAGGAGATAAGATCTGGAGCATGTACCTGAAAAAGGTTTCAAGCCTTCTTTCAGAGGGTAAGGAGTAAAAATACAACCTTTTCCTAAATGTAATTAATAGTAGTCTCGTGTTAGATTATGAAGTCAGGAATAATGAAACTAGGTGACACTAACTTGTAGCAAGTGTCGGAGAAGCTGAAGGGAAATGTGAACCGTGGGGGAAAGAAAGAATACCTGATCATCTGTACATGCATGCTGCAGCTCAAGTGGGTCACAGTGACGGGAAGGTTCAAATAACTGTAAGGATTATTCAGTCACCATCACTGCTAATCTTAGCTACACTGCTCACACAGAAGTGCTCACTATTAGTCAGGGAATAAAGCAGAGATCAACTCCACTACTTATAAATGTGAAGTCACTAAATTTAAAAGTATTTCCTGAGCAGTCCGTTGGTGCAAGACTCTGTGCAGTGTGATCAGGGCAATGTATGTACAGACCTCGGTCTTGCCTTCGTGACCTCCTTATGTGTCACCTCAAGTTACTAGAGGCCTCTTTGTCCAGCATGCTAAGAATGTGGTGAATTTAGTCCCTTTCCATACTGAGAGAGCAGCACCCTCGTGGCACTCAACTGCACTTGCTACTGCCTCTCTCTTGTTATTAAATATAGATCCAATTTCACCCTGTCTTCCACTTCAGAATTTAATGTGCCTTCACAGCGGTCTTACTTTTATACAATGTAATTTATCATAAGCCCATTTGAACAAGTTCTCTTATTTTATACAAAAGGATAGAAAATTTATAACAATATTTTGAGCACTAATTATGGATGAAGTACTGTGCCAAGCATTTTAATACATTATCAAGGTGTCAGAACAATCCTATGAGGTAAGGACTATTTTTTAGCTCCATTTTACAGATGAGAAGATGGGCTTCTGGAAGGTATGTGATTTGCTAGTCAGTGACAGAATTAAACGCTAATCTACCTGACCCCAAGTTGGCCCTTCTAGTCTTTGGATAAGAACCTTCTACTTTCCAGAAGACTTTGATTAAAGCTGAGCCATGAGCAAAACCCAGTTATTAAAGCTGCATTTATATGTAAGTGAGCATAGTTTGAGATCAAATACTACAAGTTCCTTCACCTCTGTTTTACTTTGCCCATGTTCTAGGGATCCTTTCCTAAGTGCCCAACAAGTTTCTTGTGATGACATTTGACGACAAACCCTAAAATGTTCAGTGTAATATGCAAAGTCCTGTGTAGTCCCTGTTTTTTTTTTCTCTCTGCCTGGATTCTTTCCTATTTAATATTATTTCGCCCTCTTTTCTTCTTTTGAGGGGCCATATCAAAATTGCTATGCTTATCTCTGCTAATTCTTCAGCCTACCACAGTCAGCTTCAAGTGCAGACATTATAATCACCATGCTTTGGATGTCCTCATTCACATCACTAACAAAACAATACTAGAGGAGATCTTAAGAAAAATTCTGGTAATTTAGTAGGAATAAATTCATAATTTATAAGGAATCTGTGTTATATGGCTGCTATGAAGTGGCTGTGACACTGGGTTATATTAAAAGAGGTATATTATCTAGAATAAAGGCAAAACTGGCTGTTTTACTCTGCTGGCTACACTATAAATTGATGGCCACAAAATGACACAAGGAAAGTCGCAGACACAATTAGAAGGGGTTTTTGTTTGTTTGTTTGTTTGGAAGAGATAAGATCTAGGGAATATGCTTTTAAAAATATTTGGAGGACTTGTGAAGAGGGGAAAAATCAACTGTATGCAACAACTTCCACAATGGCTCACATTGATTGACTCAACCCTGATCACGCATAAAGAGGTCACATGCATTCACTATTTGTTCAACATAACTATCCTGTGGAATGAGTGCTAAAATGTCATCCACTTTATAGGTGAGTAAGTGGAGGCCCAGAGCTGTCAGATAATTAGCCCAAGGTCACACAGCTAACCCACTTCTGAGCTGAGATCTATACACAGGCACTTTAACCCACAGAACCCCAGTCTTCAACACTACTCATCCTGTATACTTTTTTATGGCCAAACATTTGGACTAGGACAAAACAAACTCCAATACATTTAATTCTAAGCAAGTATGGAATTTCTTATAATCAGAATTGGTTAAATGTGAAATTTACCACCACAACACACGAGGAGCTCTTCATCATGGGAGATTTTTAAGCACAGAGCAAAATGCACTAATTATTGGAACTAATCAATCAATGGAATGATTTAAGCATCAGACAGCATTTACTCAAGCATCGTTAAGGTTCCTTCAGCCCTGAGGAGCTCTGTTACTAACCCCTAGGGAATAGCACTCCCAGCTCACACCCACATCTGTGAGTGAGCACTTTGGGAACCTTCTGCATCCAGAAAATCACCAAAGACTCACACATCTGGTACTCACTTTCAGTTATTTATCCCCACATCAGGGCATGAATTGGTCTAGGTTGTATGCACTGCACCATTCTCACACAAAGTAATGCCTAGGTTAGCTACCTAAGGTTCTTTCCCCAGACCCTGTTGAGTGTTGGTGGAATCTTTAACAAATCTTATTTTTAGGAAATTAGCAGCCACACATGCATACACACAAACCACCAATCACATTTTTGTCCTTTGGGATATTTCTGAAATTCCTTGTCTTCTACCTTAACTAATTCCACGGGCATTGTGGTTGTTGGTTGCCTGAAATACAACATGACTCTAGATAGAGCGACCTGCTTTGCACATACTAGTCTCTTCATCTGAAACACTCCTGGGTCTCCCTCCCTTCATGTGGCTGATTCCAACTCAATACTTCAGACTACAGCATAGACATCAATTCCTCCTAGAAGCCTCTATGACATCCTCTCGTTTCCTACCTACCTTCATGGCTATGTGAAGTATCCTCCCTGAGTGTTCCATGGCAATTAGGGCGTAGTTGTATGGGGGAATACCACACTGTACTATAATTGTCTGTTTACTTGTCCCCTGAATTCACCAGGCAGTTAGCTACCAGAGGGCACAAACTACTCAACACTGTATCTCTAGCAACTAGAAAAGTACTTGATACACTGTAGATATTCAAGCTCTATCTAGCAAATGGAAAGTATGATACTTAATGAAAGCATCTATTCTATCCTCTGCAGACATATTTTACTGATGGATTTTACCTTATTTGCTAGATAATTATATTTTTTAGATAGTTATCTGTGTGTAACAAAACTGAAGGAGAGCAGCAAAGAAAGTCCAGAAAGGAGAGATCTTGATCAGAGTTTTAGATGAAAGACAATGGGAAGAGAAAGTTCTTGGCAACTGGATGGCTCCAAGGAGAGTACCAGGTGAGGATTACTGGAGCCAAGGGCAAGCTTTTTCTCAGATTAGCTAAAGTCAGAGATGGTAGTGGACATTTTTTCCTATATGAAAGAGAGCTGAATCAGTCACCAGAAGTCACAGGAATGTCTGTATCTAACCCTTAAGCTAAGGCAGGAAAGTCGTCCATGGCCTCAGAACCTTCAGCCACCAGGTTGATTTGCTCAAGAGATACAGCTACATTCCTGCAGATTTTAAGCTCTTCCTACTTTTCCATTCTTGCTTTAAGTTTTCTTGCATCATATTTTGTATTCTTGATCATTTTGCAAATAAAACTTTTTAAAGTTTTAAAGATTCCTACTTTTATAGTATGTCATATTCTTAAATTTTCTCTGAACATGCATTTATTTATTTTTAGAGCATAAACTCGATGGCAGGCATTGACAACATTTCACTCTTACCTTTTGCTTATAAAAATTTCACTTCCTTTTAATAGCTTCACTTCTCTCCTTTTCTGCCTCCCTTTTTTTTTTTTAATCTGAATCTTTTAGGGAGTCATTTCTCTGTTTCTTATAATTTTCTTGAATTCCCTTCTGTACATACCCAATAAAGTTCCAAAGTCCATCATAAGTTTGATGGGCCAGGAGAAATATACTTATGATGCAATGTATTTACAAGTAAGAATAGTTTATTTATTCTGCATGTTTATCCTTATAATTCCCAATTCAACAAATTAGTGTTTTAAAAAGAGAGAACACTACATAATTATGTTTTTCATTACAGGAATTTATAATATTTTAAACCAGAGTTCTGCAGCTATAGTTTAAGAAAATCAGGTATTGCTTTAGTTCAAATTGCTTCTCATGTATAAGAAACAGTAACATTCTGGCCCTCCCTGATGGTGCAGCGGGTTGAAGCACAGCACTAAGAAGCTAAAGCCACTGCAGCATGAGTTCGATTCAGGCCTGCCTCTCCTGACCCGCCCGCTGCTCCCCTCAGCAGTGTACTTTGTCGATCTGCCTGTTCTGCTCCCCAATCTGTCTCTGGTGAATCCTCTCACCG